CTGCTTTGTGTTTTCATCTGTTTCTTTGTTTCCCAAGTCATTTGGAATCAGTTTTGATCCTTTATCCTGAATGAAAAACGGAAATAAAAACATTCATTTATCATTTTTAGCTGCTTTTTCTCACAAAAAGACAAAAGGAGGAGATTTAGAAAACTCTGCATTTCAAAGACGGAAAGTCAAAACTGGAACATTTTGAGTAAAAATTCTCCTCCAGTTTAATATCTCTGTAGTGAGAAGTGGATAAAATATAATAAAATGCATAAATTCTTCAGCCTTTGGAGCTTTTTTAATTTCATGGAATGAAAGTTCAGGACAAAGCAGAAATGAAGCTTCAAAACGCGACAGAATCAATATTTTGCATTTTCCTGCATTTTTTAAAAAAGTGTTTTCATTTTTCTGTTACAGATTTAATAACTTACAGCTTTAAACGAAACTTTAAACTGCAAAGTTCCTGAAAAACATAAAATAGTTTTATTGGAGTTTAATTCAAAATCAGAAAAACAAGCAAATTATCTGTTAACCTCTATATTGTAACTATGATTAATAAATTATTATTATGTGACAAATAATCCAAACAAAAGTTTTTATACTTTGTTTTTTGAAAATATTTTGTTATTCCTTTTTTGATCATCTTCATTAATTTGAAGCCTTTGTTCAAATTTGAGATGAAATCGTTGCTCTGATGTCTCAGCTGGAAGATTTAGATTTAAAATCCACTTTTAGTTCTTGATTTTTAAACCTTAATATGAATAAATGAAAACCTGGAAATAATTTTAGTATTTAGTATTTGATTCAATAAAGAAAGTTCATTAAATGAAAACATTCATGCATAAATAAATTAAAAGTTATTGAATTTGTTCCCTCATAAAAATGGGAGACTAAGAATTAAAAAGAAGAATTTTTTAGGCTTTTTTACTTTTAATTGCTTCAAGTTTAAGGATCAGGAAATGCAGGAGGAAGACCACAGGCCATCTTCATCACTAAAGTTGTTTTATTGTTTGTTTTTTTATTCATTTCTGAGAAACGGATCAACGTCGAACGTTTTCCTTCAGCTTCTGTCAGATTACGCTTCTGCACAGAAATGTTAACATTTTCACATTTCCTTTTAGTTTCAGTTTGGAGGAACAAAAATTTTACTTAAATTTAAAGATGATTTTCATGATGATTATTCACTTATTTTTGAAGTTTTTGTCAGTGTAATTCGGTTTAAACTGAAACATTTAAAAGTTTTATTCAAACTGCAAAATCCCAAGAAAGACAAAAGAAAATTGAAATGTTGAAGATTCTCAGTTAAAATTCACTTTCTAGTTCTTGGTTTTTAACATGTTTCACTGTAAAAATGGGGAATTTGAATTTCTGACATTAGTTTGCTGCAGAAACAGATTTATGTGAATATGAAGCTTTAAAACGCTTCATATGTTCGATCCTTTTACATTTGATCTGGAGATCCAGCTTTCAGTTCTTGGTTCTGCTTCACGGCGTCTTTAAAAAACCCAAAGAGCCTTTTTTACCCCTGCAGCTTTGAACGATTTTCAAATAAAACGATGCTAAAAGGATGAAAAATCATCAGTTATTCTCTGAAAATGAAACGTTTCATCATTAATGAAACTTTATTTGTAGGAATTTTCAGAGAAAATATGAAATATTTAGTTAATTATGGGGAAATGTTTTTTTAATTTATTTAGTTGTTTATGATTAAATACAAACATGAAAAAGTGAATATTCCTCATATTTACTGGACTATAAAGCAGTAAAGGAAAACCTTCATGTTTTTCTGCTTTGTTCTTTTTTGTTTGGTTTAATTTATTCTTTTAGAGATGAAAATCTGAACTTTATCACATAAAATAAGTTTTATATATTCATGGTCTGGCAGTGGAAGGACGATCAAACAAAGTTTTAACTGCAGATATAAATTTATAAATAACAGATTTACAAAAAGACATTTTGACCAATTTCTAGAATAAAATGGAAAATGAGACAAAAAGTAAAAAAATCAGAAAAAATATAGAAAACAAAATCTATATTTTAAAGGTTTTAAATCTATTGCATTAAAAACAAATTTTGTAAATAATGCATTAAATTACAAATATTATATTTTTATCTTATTTGCTGTTTTCCATGTTCATTTTGTTTCCAGATTCCTGCAGGGAAACTGGAAGCTTTCAGTGTTTAACTCAGTTTGATCTGCAGAGTTTCACTCGTTTGTTTTTCTGTTGGTTTAAAGTTTAAAGTGAAAAATGAAACTTATGTTGAAATTTAAAACTTAAAATCTCCTAGCTAAAGTAAAAACACTTTTGTTAAGAATATTTTGTGTTTTGGCTTCTTAAAACCAGAAGTTGTTCTGTTTCATCCACCAGAACTCCTCCGGTTCTTTGTTCTGACCCATCAGAACCATCAGAACCATCAGAACCAGAGTCTGTCCAGAGGTTAATAATCTGGGCCTGGTTCTGGTTCTGAAGCCTCTCATTCATGCAGATCCTCCAGTCTATGATCCGACCCCCAGCAGTCAATACTGTCACATGAATATGCAACCAGAGTCGATCGGCAACGATCCGACTCCACCAGGAATAATCCAGGAATAATCCAGGAATAATCCAGGAAATCAAAACCAGCACTAAACCAGTTCATTCCCACAAACTGGGAGCAAACCAGAGCAATAATCCAGGTCTGAAGTGTAAACTGGAGCAGGTTTTCCCTCCACCGTGACTCACCGCCTCCTACAGCTCCGGCTTCGGCTCTGAACCCACGCAGGGAAGCTGCTTCTAAAAAAGGCCGGAACGACTTCAGACGACGGATCCGACCCACAAATAAGGATTTGTTTTCGTTTTATGAAGATTCAGATCTGCAGCGTCTTTTAAACTGGATGAAAACATCAGAATCTGGCAGTGAGAGCAAAACATGCAGGTTGAGATCAGATGGTAAAGAACTGGGAACAGTTTGAACACGAGGTCAAGCTGAGGCCTCAAAGGTCACGGTGGCTCGACAGCTGCTGCAGGTTCCACCTTAAAACCTGCGCTTTGCTGCGTTTCTGTCTGTTTTTCTGTTTGTAAAAATGTTAAAGGGGCAGCAGGCGGAGAGCTGCGGCCGAAGACGAAGACAAAGATCCATATTAACAAAAACCCCGAGATGACAGATGATTAATCGGGCGCGGCGGGTTCTGCCGGGCCGCCGGACCCCCGGCTGACACCCAGAGCCGCTCCACACAAAACCACAAACCCCCCAGAGCCCCGGCGGCCCGCAGGAGCGTGGGCGAAGGGTGGACGCGGGGCGCCGTCCCCACGGAGACGCGGAGAGCGGAAAATAAAGATGAGCTGCAGCAGAACCTGACAGGAACAGGAGAGCAGATCCAGTTTGTTTGCTGCAGAGCAACCGGAGTGTGTGGGAGGTTTACACGTCAGATCGGGTGTGTTTTCTGACTCCATTCACTGCACTGAGTGTGTGTGTGTGTGTGTGTGTGTGTGTGTGTGTGTGTGTGTGTGTGTGTGTGTGTGTGTGTGTGTGTGTGTGTGTGTGTGTGTGTGTGTGTGTGTGTGTGTGTGTGCTGCTACCAAACCCCCATCTGCCACAGGGTGGGCGGCTCGCCACACAGCCACAATGCACAGCAACATTTTTGGATCTGTGGGCGTTGAAAGGCTGCAGAGTTCCTGCTCTCAGATTCACACTGAACTGGAGACACCAGTTAAAATCTGAACAGTGCGGCGTGCCGATGTGGACAGACTCCTGAAATTTGATCTCCTAAAATGATAAAACAAGGAAACAATAAAAGTCCTCCAGTAGTGAAGCGGCAGTGGCAGCATCATGCTATGGAAACCTGCAAGATTTTAGGTTTTTCTCTTTTTTGGTCATTTTGTGTAATAAGCATTTATTCCATCTTGAAAACATGCAGTTTTGGTATTATGGGATGACTTCTAGATCAGGGTGTCCAAAGTGTGGCTCGGGGCCGTTTTGGCCCTCAGAATGATGATGACGGCTCAGGATGAAGGTCCGGGTGGTCAGTGGGACGTTCTGAGACGGCAAGGATGTAACTGGATCAGCTTCGAGATATTCAGTCAGATCTGGACTCCAGAACAGCACAGATCCATTGTAACAGGAAGAAACCTGCAACAGAACCAGAACCCAGCACCAGAACCGGAGAGAAGAGAGAAGTTGTAGCTGCAGATGATTCAGGAGGAGAGCAGTAGGAGAAAACAGCAGAGGAAGAGTGGGCAGTTCCTCCAGCAGCCACTAGGGGGAAACATTCTGGGAAAACCTTCAGACATGAAATGCAACAAACATCAAAGAGAACCGGAGCAAAATCAAACTGCAGCTTCAAATCATGATTTAATTTATTAATATAAAATATAAAAACCAACCAGTTCAGTTTCTAAAACATTTCTGGATTCAGATGAGTTTTTATCACAGCGATAGAAACTCATCGGAATCAGATTCAGGATGAAAACCTGTTAGATTAGACTTTGACTAGGCCACCTTAATTGTGGACTTTTGGCATGATGGTTGGATGGATGATCAGATGGATGATCAGATGGATGATCAGATGGATGGATGTCTCGGGCTTCAGCCGGCCTCCAGCCGCTCCCTGCCGCCGGTGTGTGGGCCCCGCTGGCTCCGCTCCGCCGGATAGCGGCCATATAAGCAGCCGGAGCTCCCGTCGCCAGACCGGAGGACCTTTTATGGAGACACCGCGGCCGGAATTCCGAATCCCGCATCTCATTTTCCCCTGAAGGAAATGTGAACATGATGCGTGATGATGTTTGGGAATAAATAATAAATTCGTGACTGAAAGTCTCATTTTGATCTCCACGCTTTGATCTTTTGATTTGTAATAATCGCCTCATCGCGGCTCCGCTGCACTATTTCTGGAGTTCCCTCATTTTTTTAAGGCCAAGTCCATATTTGGTCAGTGACGTCAAGGGACACCCAGAGAGCCCCTTTATAAGCGTCGTGAGCCGCGTGGGAGCCGTTAAAACGAGCAGAGGCGGAGAGAGGAGCGGGGTTTAGCGGCAGCATGAGGGGAACCGCCGAGAGCCGCTAGCGGCGCCGCGGGACACGGTGTTAGGAACCAGGCTGAAGATCCTCGGCATGAGCGCGAAGGTTCTGCTGGAGGGAGTTTCTGCGTCTCTGAGCGGCGTGGCGGACACGGCGGAGGGGCGGCTGACCGTGTTCAAGGAGGAGCCGGTGGGAGAGGAGGATGGAGGCGGTGAGCTGACGCACCTGGCTGCGGCAGAGCGCCTCCAGCTGCTGAGCTTAACGCCTCTTTTCTGTGTTTTCCAGGTGAGCTGCTGTTCCAGGGGAGGAGCTCACCTGAGCTGCAGACCCACGGAGATCTGGGCAGTACGCGGCCACTTTACGCACGTTCACCGGGCGGTTCTCCGTGGACTCCAGGGGGGCAGGAGCGCCGTGGGCACCGGGAGACCCCGTCAACGTGGTCAGCGCTGACATCTCCGCAGCCGCGCCGGAGCCCGGGTCCGCGCCGGATATTTACGCACCTGGAGGAGGAGGTGGCATGGCGCACGGCCCGCCGGACATCAGCCACATGTACGCGCACCCCCACCCCGCCCCGTCCTACTCCTGCAGCGGGGAGATGTACCAGGACCAGTCCGCCTCGGGATACCTGGCGCCGCCCACCTGCTCCGGGTCCTACCACCCCCCACAGCACTACAGTTCCGCACCCAAACCCGGCGCGGACGGCCCCGCGCTGCTGTCCATCATGCCCGAGTACGGCGGCTTCTACCAGCAGAGCTGCCAGCGGGACCTCCAGTCGGCCTTCCCGGACCGGAAGTCTCCCGTACCCGCTGGACCCGCTCAGGGTGCCGCCGCCGCTCACGCCGCTCAACACCATCAGGAACTTTACGCTGGCCGCGCCACCCGCGGCCGTGGAGGGCCCGATGTCCGCAGCGTTCTCCACCCACCAGAACCTCCCGCTCAGGCCCATCCTGAGACCCCGGAAGTACCCGAACCGGCCGAGCAAGACGCCGGTCCACCAGCGGCCGTACCCGTGCCCCGCGGAGAGCTGCGACCGGCGCTTCTCCCGGTCCGACGAGCTGAGCCGACACCTGCGCATCCACACCGGCCACAAGCCCTTCCAGTGCCGCATCTGCATGCGCAACTTCAGCCGCAGCGACCACCTCACCACGCACATCCGCACGCACACCGGGGAGAAACCGTTCTCCTGCGAACAGTGCGGGAGGAAGTTTGCACGCAGCGATGAGCGGCGGCGGCACATGAAGATCCACCTGCGGCAGAAGGAGAAAAGATCCTCCGCCTCCTAATGATCTCACAGAAAATGTCGTTTTTTGCTAAAATCATCTCGTTATTTATGAACTTGATCTGCAAAGTGAGCAGAAAGTTTAGTTTAGATGACAGAATAGATTGAGCAGCTAGAAGAGACTCGGGTTCTGGTCCAGGACCTTCCTGTCTGGGTTCTGATGCTCAGGGATCCAAACAGCCCAGATTGGACACATCATCCTCCAGCAGCTCAGGTGGTTCAGCCTCTGGATGCTGAATGTTTCAGTTCTTTGCTCAGGAAGGGAACTGGAAGGATGATCCGACTCCACGTTTTACCTGATGAATGTAGAAGTCAGAGTCCAAACAGAGTTCTTATGCAAACGTGACGAGCACTAAAGCAGCTTCTTGTTGATGATGCAAATAAATGTTGGTTTTTTGTTCAGGAGGTTCTGGTGATTTGTTGTTTCTGAACCAAAGCCGATTTGGTTCTGGTTGCACTGGGGGGAAACCAGAGACAACTGGACCCGGTCCATCACTCAGCATGGGGCCTTCAGGGTAACAGATGGAAGCTGGGCTTACAGATCACTGATGAGTAATTTTAGAGAAAGTTTACACCGTAGAGGACATCTGGGGTATCTACAGTGCATGTTCAGACAGGTACTGAAGTGTTTCCTGTACTGTCCAGGTACAGGAAACACATCAGCAGTGAAATGCAGAGAATGATGAGAGTCTGAACAGTCTGAGGTGGATCTGCTCAGCACCAGGATGCAGTTCCTGCTGCAGAACATGAACAAAAGAAAAAGGAAAAATGTTCCATGTTTTATCTCTTTTTCCAGTTCGCCGTTTTTAATGCTGCTCTGAGCAAACGCCCAGATGGTTCCTATCAGAGACATGGGTTCAGTACCTTCTGGTGGGTCTGAACGTAAAGGGGTTTATTCACATTGTGATTCTAGATACCAGGATACCTACAGGGTAAATATAACTCATGTTTCTAACTACTGACCTCCACCGCTCAGGTGTTGAGCTCCAGTCCCCCAGTCCTCCAGTCCTCCAGACCCAGTCCTCTAGTCCTCCAGACCCCCAGTCCTCCAGTCCTCCAGTCCCCCAGTCCCCCAGTCCTCTAGTCCTCCAGACCCCCAGTCCTCTAGTCCCCCAGTCCTCCAGTCCCCCAGTCCTCCAGTCCTCCAGTCCCCCAATGCTCCAGTCCCCCAGTCCTCCAGTCCCCCAGTCCTCCAGTCCCCCAGTCCTCTAGTCCTCCAGTCCCCCAGTCCTCCGGTCCCCCAGTCCTCCAGTCCCCCAGTCCTCCAGTCCCCCAGTCCTCTAGTCCTCCAGTCCCCCAGTCCTCCAGACCCCCAGTCCTCCAGTCCTCCGGTCCCCCAGTCCCCCAGTCCTCCAGTCCCCCAGTCCTCCAGTCCTCTAGTCCCCCAGTCCTCTAGTCCTCCAGTCCTCTAGTCCCCCAATGCTCCAGTCCCCCAGTCCTCCAGTCCCCCAGTCCTCCGGTCCCCCAGTCCTCCAGTCCCCCAATGCTCCAGTCCCCCAGTCCTCCAGTCCCCCAGTCCTCTAGTCCTCCAGTCCTCCAGACCCCCAGTCCTCCAGTCCCCCAGTCCTCTAGTCCTCCAGACCCCCAGTCCTCCAGTCCCCCAGTCCTCTAGTCCTCCAGTCCCAGTCCTCTAGTCCTCCAGTCCCCCAGTCCTCCAGTCCCCCAGTCCTCTAGTCCTCCAGTCCCCCAGTCCTCTAGTCCTCCAATCCTCTAGTCCCCCAAGTGGAACCTACTGGTTGCTGTTTCTTCCTGAATCTCTGCTTGTGTAGATCTTCCTGGACAGATGAGGTATTTGCAGGTATCATAGTGTGAAAGTCCCAGTCAGTGAACAGTCTGTAGACGACTTACCAGATGAGTAGAGAAGGCGTCATGGTGGAGGCAGTCTGCCTCTTCCTCACTGAACGCTGATCATGAACTACAGGAAGCTTGCAGGCATCTGAATGTCTGAGCTTCACTATCAGCTCAGAAAGTCACACTCAGCCCTGCATGTTCCTGCAGTTTGAACACAGTGAACAGTTACGGCCTTGCTTCCGCTCAGGGTGTGGCACCGGCTGGTGCGGTTCGGTACAGGAGAGACTCACAGAGTGAATGGAGGAAAACCCAACAACTTAATGTTGCACCATATCTGGTGACAAACAGGCAGAGGTTCACAGTCCTGAGGGACGTTCAGATGTCTGCCTGGTCCACTGAATCAACAGCCTGAACCTGAAGATCTCCAGAGTTCTATTAGTAGAACTAATGTTAGTTCTATTAGTAGAACTAATATTAGTTCTATTAGTAGAACTAATGTTAGTTCTATTAGTAGAACTAATGTTAGTTCTATTAGTAGAACTAATATTAGTTCTATTAGTAGAACTAATATTAGTTCTATTAGTAGAACTAATGTTAGTTCTATTAGTAGAACTAATATTAGTTCTATTAGTAGAACTAATGTTAGTTCTATTAGTAGAACTAATGTTAGTTCTATTAGTAGAACTAATATTAGTTCTATTAGAACTAGTATTAGTTCTATTAGTAGAACTAATATTAGTTCTATTAGTAGAACTAATGTTAGTTCTATTAGTAGAACTAATATTAGTTCTATTAGTAGAACTAGTATTAGTTCTATTAGTAGAACTAATGTTAGTTCTATTAGTAGAACTAATATTAATTCTATTAGTAGAACTAATGTTAGTTCTATTAGTAGAACTAATATTAGTTCTATTGTAGAACTAGTATTAGTTCTATTAGTAGAACTAATGTTAGTTCTATTAGTAGAACTAATGTTAGTTCTATTAGTAGAACTAATGTTAGTTCTATTAGTAGAACTAGTATTAGTTCTATTAGTAGAACTAATATTAGTTCTATTAGTAGAAACTAATATTAGTTCTATTAGTAGAACTAATATTAGTTCTATTAGTAGAACTAGTATTAGTTCTATTAGTAGGACTAATGTTAGTTCTATTAGTAGAACTAATGTTAGTTCTATTAGTAGAAACTAGTATTAGTTCTATTAGTAGAACTAATATTAGTTCTATTAGTAGAACTAATATTAGTTCTATTAGTAGAACTAATGTTAGTTCTATTAGTAGAACTAATATTAGTTCTATTAGTAGAACTAATATTAGTTCTATTAGTAGAACTAATGTTAGTTCTATTAGTAGAACTAATATTAGTTCTATTAGTAGAAATAATATTAGTTCTATTAGTAGAAACTAATGTTAGTTCTATTAGTAGAACTAATATTAGTTCTATTAGTAGAACTAATGTTAGTTCTATTAGTAGAACTAATGTTAGTTCTATTAGTAGAAATAATATTAGTTCTATTAGTAGAACTAATGTTAGTTCTATTAGTAGAACTAATATTAGTTCTATTAGTAGAACTAATGTTAGTTCTATTAGTAGAACTAATATTAGTTCTATTAGTAGAAATAATATTAGTTCTATTAGTAGAACTAATGTTAGTTCTATTAGTAGAACTAATATTAGTTCTATTAGTAGAACTAATGTTAGTTCTATTAGTAGAACTAATGTTAGTTCTATTAGTAGAACTAATATTAGTTCTAATGTTAGTTATCCTGTAAGAGACCCGTTCACAGCCTGTAAACGGGTCTCTTCCTGGACAAGAAACACCCTGCAGGTTTTCAGTTTAGATTAAGACTTGAACTGAAATCATAAATCAAATCACTAAAAACACCATTTTCTGACGGAACAACACTCAGAGGAAAATATTTTTAACTGTATTAAAAATATTTTTCACTGAGAATAAAGAGCAGCTTCAGCCGGTTCAAATTCTGTGAAAAAAAACTGAGCAAATTTTGGTAACTTTATTCAAAATGAATCATCAGATCAGCTTCACACCGAACTGATGGAGAGCAGAAGAAAAGCTGAGGCTGTTTCTACATGTCAATGTTAGATTTCCTGTCTGCTTTTATTTGAGTTTTTAGGATCTAAATCGGGCAAAAACTTATTTTATGATGAATTTTAGCTGCTTAAAGCCCTGACGGGATTTTTATGAGGGCAGATTTCAAATGTCTCGGTGATTTATAATCAAAGTTTTAATCCACTTCCCTAAATGGGGAACAGCTGCAGAAAAATCTCTTCAATCTGTTCATCAAATATTGATCAAACAACATAAGTCTGTCAGTTATCAACTCATTCATCTGCTTCCTGTTCCCTCCTCCGCCACACGGTGGCAGCAGCGACCTCTCACATCATTTAGTGAACTTTGAAAACTGGACTTTTTATTTGTTCTGCACAGCTTAAAACCATGAGACCGAACCATGTAGATTACTTTTATTTAACCTGCAGATCCACAAAACGACCAGCAGAATCTCAAAGGTTTGATTTAATGCAGCAAACATCACATCCAGGTTCCCTGAGAATCTCAGAGAGAAAAACCGCAGAGTCCAGACGACGGGAGAAATCTGGACTTTCTTTCTGCGGCTGAAACGCAGGAAGACGAGTCGGCGGCTACAGATTACTTGATGCAAAGCTGCATCCTTCATGCAAACCCCAGAATGAACAGAAACCAATCAGACAGACGGATAAATCAGAGCGCAAACTGCAGAGAGCAGGATGTTCGTGATGCCAGAAGGAAAACTGATGTTAATTCATCTCTCCTGGTCTGAAAATGTTCAATTACAGAGCAGCAAATGTCTCCTCTGGTGTATTGTTTAATTATTACTAAAAACATAAAGCGTGTCATAAAGTCCAGCTCTGGAGCAGCAGATTAATGACTGACGGCCTGCAGGAAAATCACATTCTGAGTCAGTTTCATTTGAACAATAGAACCACTTTACAACGAGGCTCCTGTTTACAGATGGCTGAGAAATATTTCATAGATATGTTAATTACTATCTATAAACCATTAATTACAGGCCATAAGGAGAAAAAGTGCCCTTAATATATCTAATCTAGTTATTATACTAAACATTTCAGACATAAATCCTTTGCACAATAAGCATTTAAAGATGTTTTATTTAGCATGCAGTCTCAAATTCACCCTCAACAATAAACAGTTATTAATGACTCTTTTAGTGTTTATAAAGTTTCTATTAGAGGTGCAGAAAAAAATGATTCTGTAGAGAATCGCAATGATGAATCGATCCAAAAGCTCAGGAATCATTTTCAGTCCATTTATTTTAAATTATATTATGAATAATTTATATTTTTGTTTTGACTTGTGACAAAAGAATTTTATGCACAAAAATCTTATGTTTAAATATAAACAGGTGGATTTGGTATGTGATCTTTAATCGTATTTGTTTCAATCAGTTATCGACTCAAACGGATCGATTCATTTGAAAGTCGCTTAGAATCTAATCCTAAAAATCGGAATGAATCTCTAAAGTATTTATCAGCCATTGTCTGTAAGGGGAGCTTTATTCTGAAGTGGAACGAGTGTGGCCCGGTTCGGACCGGGCGCAGGTCCATTTGACCCGGTCCGGTCCGGGCGGATCACAGGTGGACCTCCGGGCCGGGGTACGGCTCCCCTCCGCACCAGAAGTGGGGCGGCTGGGAGACCTCCATGAGCCACACTTCCTTCTCTTTGCCGTCCGCGGAGTTCGGTTCCGAACTGGTCAGAACCTGGTAGTAGTGGCAGTCCCTGCCGTCGTCCGGGTCGTACGGCGGGGCCAGAATATCCATGAACGCCGTCGGCCCGTCCACCGCGTCGATCTGGTGAAGGTTGTCCCGGTCCGGGGAGAGGACGCAGGGCCCGCTCTCCTCGGTGTATTCGGCGGAGGAGCGCAGCACGGAGCGCCGCAGAGCGCCCATCTGCGCCGGGGACAGCGGCGGCGGCGCCGTCCCGCCGCCGTGCCGCTCCAGCCGGTCGAAGCAGCTGATCCTGACCTTCCCGTAGAGGACTTTGAGCACGCCGTGCATGCCCGGGTGGTCGTGCAGCGGGATGGAGGCGCCGCTCTTCAGCAGGAATACCCCCATGCTGAACTGGTCCGTCGCAGCAGATGTGCATGTAGGTGACCGGCGGCACTCCGTGGTGGTACGGGTTCGGCCGCGGCGCGCTGTCCTCGGCTCTCCGCGGGACGAGCTTCAGGTCCGCCGCTCGGACTTCCGTCATCAGGCTCTTCAGCTTACCGTGGTTCTCCACGAAGGTCTTTCCGCTCTCCTCCCCGAGTCCCGGCGGGTTCCTGAAGGTGAGCAGAGCCTGGCGGGCTATTCTCTGGACGATGGAAGTCATGTGCTGTCGCCTGGCATCATCCCGGATCAGGAGCTCAGCTGCCCGGGTCCGCTGCCTGCGGTTAGCCGTAGCTCCTCAGCTAGCTTCAAGATAGTTTATTGACAAGACGCTCCACTCCGCTGTCCAACCGCTTCGAACTGAAAGATCTTTGCTCGGCGCCGAACTGTTTAAAATTATTTTACAAAATTAAAAGTAAACAAGTTTCAGTCGAAGCATTAAATATTTAAACGGAATATTGACTTACAATGAATAAACATCTATAATAATCTATGTATTCCACGTCCTGTTGTTCGTTTAGTCGCTTTGTTATTTTAAAAACACACCAATGTTTAAATCTTCGCAAAAAATTACCAACTTCATAATAATTTCTGAATCTGTAACCTTTAGGCAGAAAATCTGAATTTAACCGTCACTTCGTTTCACTTCCAAACCCCATTTTTCAATAACTGTCAAACACGTCCGCACCAGCGGCGCGACCGCACTGAATCATGGGAGATGTAGTTACTGTTTACAAAAAAAATCTCTACTTTCTGGTCACATAATAAAATTAACTTGAAATACTGATAGAAGACTTAATACAGTTTTATTACTTTATTTAAAAATGACTAAATGATTACAGTCGATATATTTGCTAGTTTGAGATTTTGATCTTCCGAAAGGACAAACTACATTTCCCAACATGCCACAGAAGTGTAGCGATAACCAGGCAGAGAAAACAGGCTGTTTATGTCAAACTGTGTCAAGTTGGATGTTTATGGATCAAAAACTGAAACAAAAGGCGATTAACAGACCTGAAGATCCAATTAAAACTGGTTTCATCTGTTGTCTAATTTCAGGGACTTTTTTATACAGAAACCATAAAATATGAGATTCTACAGGGAGAGATGATCATACAACACATAACTGCAAGGATTTAGAAAAACAAGAGTTGGATCCACATGGTAGAATTTATTAAAATTGTTTCTGACCAACAAGGCTTGAAAACTCCACAATTTGTTGAAATCTGCAAAGAAATGTTACTGAAAGTCAGGGGATCAGCGACCTTTGCAACTTTCAGTCCTTTAAACTGAATTTATGTGGAGCTGCAACTCCACTCTTCAAAATAAAATAATCTGTTATAGAACCAACTAAAGGAAATTTGTTCCATTTTTCACTTGTAAAAAACAGCGACTTGTATTTTTAACCTGAACAAATATTCCTTGCTAGTAGTGTCAGACAGTCTTTGTGCAAATATTTTGCAGAAGGTGAATGAAAATGTTTAACTTTTATAAACATATCTAACTTCTTCAGCCTTGACAAGAAGTCCTTTCAGCTCCACATTGATTATCATGACTCAGGTTTCCACAACATTTTCAGAGCCTTTCCCAACACGTATAAACAACCACAGATTACAAGATCACCAGTTAAAGAAACTGTTCAGCAAAAGCATCAAGTTTTTTCAGCATATTGAAAAATCCCCTTCAGATTGAAGGAAATGTTCATTGACCTTCTTGCCCTCTGTTCACCTGATTTCAAACCAAACCAGGGGACGATAACGTTTCCTCTACTGATCAATCTTTCAATTGATTTTAAAGCTCAGCTTTTTTTTGTGATCTTCAATAATGCAGCACAAAAGCAAAACTAACTGGAGAGTAAAACATGTTTTCAAAAGATCAAATTGTAAAAAGATCAAATCCCACATGCTTAACAAAACTAAATGCTTATATTTAATAGTTTTAACACTAAATACGCCCTAATATACGTCACACACAGCAGAAAGCGTCTTAGCTCTATCTTAGCAGCCAATATTTATTGTCTCAGTTCCTGGCAGTCGCAGCTCAGCCAATCTAAGAAAAATGAATGGCGCTCCTGAATTGGCTGCTTTGCAAACATCTGCTAATAAAGTAGCATAAAGCCAAGACATGCCGAGCCGCGTTTTATTTTGAAGATTTTAGATATGCTCTGTGAGAAAAAAATCAGCAGATAGAAATTTTCCTCAGATTCAAACGGCTGCACAAATTAGCACAAACATAGATCTGTCTTCCCAGACGCTAAACTCAGTCACTGCTTCCAACAAAATCAGTGTCACTGACTGTAAATAGTGTTTTATAGCACAAATAAAACACTAAAGAAACCTGTCCACTTATACATTCCTTTGGATCAGAATGTGCCATCCTTAAAACCTACACACTATGTTCAAATGTGTTTACAGTACAATATGGTATTCTTTATTCTTATTTATGTATTTAATATTTTTATCTTCGTGTGAATCTACTTGCCTTGATTGCCTGTCACTGTTGGACTCTTCCCTCCTTTGGGACAACAAAGGTCATTTCTATAAAAAATTATATTTGGAGAGTTTTGTTCCAGATAAAAATTAGGCAGCAGTCCATTTAAACTGGCACTTCATGTCACATAACAGAAAAGCACAGGCCTGTATTTCCAAATATATATGAATATTATTTTACACCTCCAATAAGAGGATCCGCGACCCGTTTCACACCAGAACCGGATGTATGAACCACATGCTTCGCTTTTCCCACACATGAAGGACAAGGAAGCACCTCAGCCATGATGTCAGATTCCCATCAGTGGTTTTTCCTCTGAAAATAACAGAATATGAATACATTAATAAAGCACAGATTAATCGGCCTGATTTTTCTTAACTTTGGGAAATTAGAGATCAGCTGATTAAATGATCTGATCAACTTCTGCAAAGTTCTGAAAATCAGCCAGTTTCCTTTTTCTCTGCTGCCGACTTGTCGCTACATTTAGCCTCTTTGGCACAAAAACATCAACATGGACCAAAGTCAATATCAGTAGGTCGGCTATTTATTGATCACCGGTTGGTCAGAAACTGCAGTCGGTGCATCAGAAGCTTGAAGAAAATGGAGGATCTGTGGACAAAGAAGAAACTAAATATTTATAAATGAATGAGTTGTGTTGGAATAATTGTATGTAAGTTATCCCATGTATTGTTTTTCTTACTATGTATGTTGGAATGCTGTAAAACTGTTACTGTGAAGATTAACTACTTATTCTGTTTGATGTCCAGAACAAGATTATCACGTACAAGATAATTGTGTTACATAGAAGAAGAGGCAATCACAATATACATTATCAAAGTACTGTCTTTGCATCTCCTGAGGTTACAGTTTGTTTGTTGTCTCTGGGGTCATAAAGTTCAGTTCCTGAGACTTTGGGTTGTATGCAAACGACCCATTCTTCCTATCAGGCTGGATGTTGCCCTGGCCATCCGAGGTGACAGAATCATCGCTTCAAAGATAAAAGAAACACAAATCGATCCCAGGGGCATTGTATTCTCCTGGTCTTTGTATTTGTATTTGTATCTAACACTTAGTTGGGAATTGAGAACTAGCACTGTAGCTGTGTGATGAATTGTTTACCCAACGCCTTTTTAGAGCTACAGTGTCCTTGTGTAACCAGGGTGACCTAAGGAAATAAAAGGCGTTGAGAGCCAAGACGTACTCAGAGTGTGTTGGAGATTGTAACTGATGTACGTCTCTGGGGCACTCTCCTCGCGAGTAAAACTTAACTGATGTGTTCTGTCTTTCTTTCCAGGTAGTGTTTTACTAATGTTAGGGGTTTAGACCTGACATTAAATTGGTCCTTCAAGCCGGAGTCCCGAAACCCTAAGGATTCCAGCGGGTGAGCGAGATCCAGGAAAAGCCTGTGGCCACAGCACTAAGACCCTTTCCGGGACTGGTCCTTTCTCACAGGCTGGGATCCGAGGGGTTGGCGGACATCCAGGGGAAGACTGACACATATCAGTGAGTAGGATTTTATTTTAAAAAGAAGTGGTGAATGATTGATATTGCAATAAAATAGAGAATAAGAAGTGAAGAAATAAATAAAATAGAGAATAAGAAGTGAAGAAATAAATAAAATAGAGAATAAGAAGTGAAGAAATAAAACCCTGACAATTCTAGACACTATCAGGTAACTTAAAACAAGCAGTTAAATTCCGTGAGGACGGCGGAGTCCTTTACTCATAGAAGTAATTAAAGTCCGTGGGATGACGGAGTCCCCTGCTTGAAGAAAGAAAAAAGTGAAGAAATAAAAGAGTGATAAAAAAAATAAAAGAAGAAAAAAAAATAATAATAAATCATAAAAAAACTAGAAAATAATGCTTTGTAAACCTTACCTAGCTGGAGGTCTTGTAAAGCCCTACTGGGATGAAGACTGGCAAACTTCACCTGCTTCGGTATTTTGCAACCTCACGTGGTTTGAGATCTTACGAACCCCACCTGTTGTGGGAACGGGGCCCGACTAATACCCGTGTTTAAATGGACGGCGGAGTCCAGCGAAACAGGCGCTTAAATTCCGTGACAAAAAACAGTGTGTGTATGTGAGAGTGAAAGGAAATTTAAGTATCACTCGATACTTGATTTCATACCAAAACAGCAAGGAAGTAAATGGTGACCTCTGTGGATGCATGTAGGCAAGAAAGTTCCACTCGAAAGAGTTGAAGTGAACTTTACCACAGACAGGAAGTTTTATCACCATCTTGCTGAAAATATTCCAGTGTTAGAACACACCAGGTGTTACCCCACACTGGACCAAAACATAGTTAAAAAATGGGAAAAAATAAGAGTAAAATAAAACTAGAAGATTTAACTTGTAAAGATTGGAAGGTAGTTGAGAAACAAGAACCAGGAGCAGTTGAACCACTGGCATACTGGGTACACAAATATGGCTTAAATGGTAAATTAAGCACTGCAAACATTGCAGAATTGAGAAGGAAAATAAGAGAAAAATGTAAGGACAAAGAAAACTTGATGGATAAAGAAGGTTATGAACAAACAGGAGTGTAGATGAAAATGACAAATAAGAGAAGAAGGGAAAAAGAGCAAAAGAGCAGAAAGAAAGAAAAAGAGGCAGAGAAAGAAAGAGAGGAAGAGAAAGAAAAGAAAGTGTTGTTTTATAGAAGGGAAGATGATGAATTTATGCCAGGACCCTACAGGGATTAATTGAGCAAGCAGGAGATATGCAAGAGCCAGAGGAAGCAGCAGCAGCAGCAGCAACACCCTCTGCGCCTTTGCAACCTATCAAAAGAGCACCTCGCCAGACTAGGTCCAAAGGATCAGTTTGAACCTGGTCTAAATTTTATAAAAAAATTTTTAAAAAAAATGGGGAAAGAGATAAGTAAAACTAATCCAATAGACAGTCTAAAATCAAACGACTAGAAGTTTATTAAAGATTAGGATCCGTGTAAAATAAAACACTTAGATAAATAAAAAACTGTCTGAAAGCTGGAATAAAAGTTGAAGAGGCAGACAGAAACATAAAAAAAGAGGGGAATAAGAATGTTTAATAAAAGATGAGGATAAACACTCAAAGTTTCATAAAAATAAATAAATAATAAAAATTAATGAAACTAATAACTCATGGTTTGCATGAATTGATAAAATGAGTTGTAGATTTGGTAAATAGGTCTTTGCAATAACTT